CGAAAGTAAACCAATTTGAGTGGGACCTTTCGAGTAAAGACATAACGAAACCCCCGAAACACGACTAATAGTCGTGGCTACACTTTACGCTCTTCCACCATTGGGTGACGCTGATTTTTTAAGAAAACGTATAGGTCATTTGCAGCTCTCTAACCAACATAAAAGCAAATTTTTAAAATGAATAACAAAGAGCTTGGCACAGATAAACTTTAGAGCAAACACTATTAATTTTTAAAATGCAATTAAACTCAAAAGAGAAGTTTTCAAACGGGTTTTTTTTTTCAAAGTAAGAAACAACCAACTATACAGCCGCTAGTTGTAGCCATGGGCCTATTGTCAATTGCACTTAACAGATGACCCGTTTGGTTTTGTTTTTGCTTTGACTTTTTGTTGGTATTGCTCTTTTGTTTGGGAATTTTTTTTAATTATTTTTTTTTAATTGGGGTGGGGGGGGGGGTCATTTTTATCAGAGATCAACACGTATTTTCAACATCTTCTAAATCTGTAGAAGTCGGCCAAACCTTCTCCCCATACTAATGACTCCCTTTTTTCCAAAGTACCGTATAACGTCAGTCGTTCAAAGTGCGATTTCAAAGATAATGCTGCTACTTTTCGTCCAACACCCGACTCCGGTATTTGATAGGCCCTTAAAGTCTGGAAATCGCGGCGCGAAGGGTTCGCACGCCAGCAGAATTCACTCACTGCGTCCCGAATGCTTCATTACAGATTCATTTCGTTCTTTGGGGAAGGCGCAAATCAGATGAGGGGGTAATGGGACCGATCTGCTGTTTGGTGGACGCTTCCATCCTCGCGGGGACCCGGGGGCCAAACGAAGTTTGCTTGCTCGTCCAAAGTATGGGATGTCCTCGATAGTTGTTTTTTTTTAGTTGTAGGAGGGGAAGGGTGTGTGCACTAAAGATCAAGAGTGGAGGCTGGAAGGGAGAAACAGAGAGAGAGAGAAGACGAGAGACAGGAGAGAGAGAGAGAGAGAGAGAGAGAGAGAGAGAGAGAGAGAGAGAGAGTGAGTGAGAGAGACTGAGGACGAAAGAAAGACAGTAGAAGAGAGAGAGAGAGAGAGAGAGAGAGAGAGAGAGACGAATGGATAAATATTGAGAGAAAGGGGCGGGAGGATAAGATAATAAATAATATATAAAGAGCGCAGCACTCTTATATCATTTTAAAGGTATTGGAGTTTGAAAAGAATGCCTCTTGATATGTGCGTTTGTTCAACAATGTGTGTAATTAATTATGTCCCAGAGGGTGCTCTAGAGCGCCTCTTTACATTATTATTATTATTGTTATTATTTTTTATATTTTTATTATTATTATCATTATTATTATTATTAATAAAAATAATAATTATAATAACAATACTAGATATACAATATCAAGGATGTGTACATCATGATATATCAAAGAAAACCGTTAAAACTATAGTTAATTTCGCAAAACAAAGCTTTCTGTATTAGAATTTAAACAAATAACTATGAAAATAATTATGCGTTGGACTTCCTTAAGACCTCCTAAACCACGCCCACACACCTACTATAACCCATCCCTTCTACTCTCAACCCCTCCTCTTTCTTCCCTTTCGCTCTCTTTTTTCTCCATGAAAATGTACATAATTTATTCTTCGACCCTCCAACTTCTTTTTTTTTCTTCTTTTTTTACCACTAATAATCAATCATTCAAACATCTCGAACGCTAAACAAAAGAATCCCCCTCCCCCACTCTCTCTCCCGTCCGACCTACACCCCTACCCCAACCTCACGGTCGCTATTTCTCAACCAAGTCCTGTCCACCAATTCTTAGACTACTAACATTTCACCACCTCTGATTCGAAAGACATCCTTTTTCCATAACCGATGAAGATCAATGTCTCCGAGTCCCTTGACCTTTACCCTATGTCTATCACTTCAAACACTACACGGAAGGGCTCTCACTCGCACTATCAGATCACAGGGTAGTATGATTTCTTCGCCCACGATCATTCCCTTGACCTTGTTCGAGATGGGAACTTTTAGAAAGGAAAGAAGCAGATGACAACAACGTATACCTAGCTAGCTATATTCGTTCAATAGTGACTCATCGGATAAAAAGTGTTTCGGTAACTTAACTCTGAGAACCGGGCGAAACAAAAATAAAGAAAAATATAATAAAGAAATGAATCAATAAATGAGTGAATAAATAAATAAAAAAATTAATTAATAAATAAATAAATCTATCAATCAATCAATCAGTGTCGGATTAGCAGCAATCTAAAGAACTAAAGACAACGATGCCGCTAATTTCGAACCATTATTCACAAATTAATGAGAAACACGAATAGGCGTCATTAAAAACTATGCATGGTTTTGCTCGCCATTGCAAGTGTTGAAAAAAGTGAAAATCTGTTCAAACAACGAAATTTTCACGTGCTCAACACGTCGTGTCTTCAAGATTTTTTCTCAAATTATCAGAATGGCCGTTGTTGATGAGCTGGTAATTGTGGCAGATGGGTGATCATAATGTTGATTGTCTGGTTTCGATTCAAATCATTGCTTGTTTGTTTGTTTGTTCAAATCAAAGTGCATCATACAGGTTGTGGTTTAATTAAAGAGATTACGACCGTGTTGGCCCCAACCAAAAACATTGATCGGGTTGTAAAAGTCCCCTTTCTTCTTTTTCATTGCTGTCATTTATACAGCAACATCCCTCCTTTTACCATCCCCACCCCCCTCGAAAAAAAAAATTCCTTACTCTCCCCCCACCCCCCACCCCCCTTCCAAGCCAAAAGATAATGAAAATTGATATACAAAATATGAGCTTTCGTATATTATGAATGTACCAATAGCGATATGTGTGCATAATTAATTATAGGTAATCTGACAAAAAGATATTTTATAGAAGGAAAGAAAGAAAGAAAGAACAAAAGAAAGAAAAACTGAAAGAAAGAAAGAAAAACTGGCCAAAAAAAGGAATGAAGGAAGGAAAGAAAGAAAAAACAATTGAGTTTAAAATTATAATTTTAAGTCCCCAAAGATGGAAGACTCACATAACTGCCTAAGAACATTATTGTAAAGCGTCATCACCTTATTTCATAATCTAAGTTTCTCCATTATAACATATAATTAGTGACAGGCAATCTGACAGAAAGATAAGATAGATAGAAAAACGAAACGAAAAAAACAATAAAGTTTAGAATTATAATCTTAAGTCCCCAACTTTTGAAGTGGAAGATTCACATAACTGCATAAGAACATTACAGTAACACCTCATCACCTTATGTCATAATCTAAATTTCTCCATTTTAGCATTGTTACACAATTCAGGAGCTTATTGCGTGCTGAACGTAACGAGAGTGTAAACTATTTACTTACTTACACGTAATCAACTTAAGGAAATTTATAGAAAAGAATACTGATCTGATGAACATTTGTTAGTGCAATTGTCAAGGAATCGAGGCTATGTTCATACTACATTGCATTTCGCTCCGAAACCTTTAACCGTATATCAAAAGAGGATACTGTATAATATCCATCATATGGTTAATGAGTGCTCGTGCAAAAAACCCTTCAAGACTACCCATCTTTAAACCGACACAAACACTCGACTTGAAACAAAATACTCATACACACACACATATACAAACACATGCACACATACACACACACACACACACACACACACACACACACACACACACACACACACACACTCACACGCGCGCGCATGCACACACACACAAACATACACACACACATACAGAGAGAGAGAGAAGAAGAAGAAGAGAAAGATACATTCATATAATATATAATTAAGTATATTTTATATAATTTATCATACAATATGTGTGCGTTTGTGTGTGCTTGCGTGTGTATGCGTACGTGCGTATGTGCATGCAAACATGCGAGCATGCGTGCGTGCGTATATACGTACATTTGAATAAATTTTCCTTTTAAATCTTATAAACATATTATTATTATTTTTAGGATCTTATAAATCTGAGCTCTTAGGAGTTGAAGCATCGAACAGCTTCTTTTCTGGTATTTGTCACATTGTTTCTGTTTTTGGTTTTGTTTTTTCGCCCAACTTAATTTCCCCCATTTGTCTGCCGTGGTCTGGCATCTTGACAGAAAAGGATTAAGGGGGAGATTACAACTGTTTCGGAGGGAAGGAGGGGAGGGGGGAGGGGGGGAGGGGAGAGGGAGTTAGACGAGAACCGACGACACCAGGTCTTGATGGGGAAAACAGGGCAAAACTTTCAGACGTTTTCTGGGAGTATTCATATTCAAAGCACGGGAAGGACAGTTCCTTTTTCCCTTCTGTGGATTGTGGTGATGGGTCTTTCTGCCGCGGGAGAAAGTAGGAAGATCAAGAGTGGGGGCTGGGAGGGAGAGACAGAGAGAAATAGCAGAGAGAAAATAATGTAGAGCAGCCGATACTCCATTATGGCAAGACAGATTTGTTACATTTCACGATGGATGCAGATTAATTGTCATGCTTCAACGTTAAGGTGGATGTAACAGGTGGTTGTTTGATTTCTGGCTAAAATTCGGTTAGTTGGGTTCGAGCACTGATTTGACGTTTTAACTAAGCAAGGCTTCCGATGGAACACCATAAATTAATGGTCTGAGCAGTGACCCAAGTGAAGTTTATGTGGTTGTTGTTGCTATTGTTTATTGTTGTTGTTGTTGTTGTTGTTGTTGTTTTTGTTGTTCCTGTCGCTGTAGCCTATTAGTATGCGAGGGGTGAAGATGACGAGACACAAGAACAGCCACATTCTGTAATGAAAGAAATGTGAATACAATGTCAGCCAAACTAATGAAGCCGGAAAAAATATATAAATAACTTTGAAATTTCCAGCAACGACCCACAATCTGGACACCAAACTTATTTCAATTTCATTCTTATTTTTTCAGGCATCCCATTACTCTTACGATTTGATAATTTATTCTCACTTTTTCAGGCATTCCACTTATCTTAACACATTTTATAAAAATTCATTTTTACTTTTTCAGGTATCCCTTGTTTGATGTTCATGTGAACGGAATCGAGATTATTAACCAGCACTACGGTCATGGATACCACGTACCTGCCGCTAGGGAGAACCAGCCCTGCGCCTCTCTACCTCACCACAGGAGGGAACATGTCCTTTACAGCCAATATGACAGGCAATTTTACCGGAGAAACGACTGAGTTTTATGATCCTTCTGAAAAAAGCGCCAAGTGAGTATACTTAGTACACTGACTAAGTAAAAAGAAACTACTTTTTGATTGCGTAAAAATTATGGTCTTTTGAGTCATTCTACTTTTCCATTCACGCGAGTTCTACTAAATACTCAAAAAGTGGACCACGTTGCAAAGAAAATATTCATTTAAAAAAATTATTTATTGTTTTGTTTTCGGACGTAGATTATCCCGGCAACCACAGAATCGCACAGAGCGTGTGGGGCGTGCCGATGGCTCCATTTCTCTGATGTTGAGTTAAACCTGCCATCTTTCTAGGGTGAAATGATTAACAAATGTCGGTTTGACATTTGGTAAACACAAACTAGATTTTCAACTTATACTTTAAAGAAAACAAAGAACAGAAGAAAAAAAACCGGTCAAGTGATCGCCACAAAATGACAATTTTCTTTTTTCAAACATTGATACTTTAAAAACTAACTGAATCACTATAATGTTGTTTTCATAACACGGCCTACTTTTTAGAGCATCTAGTTTTTCTCACGTGAAAGGAAAAACGTAAATACTCAAAAGGCTTGATATTTTACACAATCTAAAAGTGGTACCTTTCATTTTTGATCGCCAGTATAGTAGTAAGCTTCATGGAATCTCATTTCTACACCTGATATTTTGGGATTTTTAATAATCATTTTTGTCAGCTAAATTTAACGTTTGTCTAAAGGTCCATAGGCTTACTTATGTGACCGACATAAGATAGAAATAGTGTATCACTTCCGTTGTTACAGTCAAATAAATGTGTGTAACCCAAGAAGTGAAGATGCGTTCGTTTTTCTTCTTCTTTGTTGTTGTTGTTGTTGTTGTTGTTGTTGTTGTTGTTGTTGTTGTTGTTGTTGTTGTTGTTGTTGTTGTTGTTGTTATTGTTGTTGTTGTTGCTGTTGTTTTCTTCATTTTATTAACTTGTTAACACTTTAATGCGCCACAAACTTCAATCATTTGAAACTTTGTTCAAATTTGAATTTAATACCTGTTTTCTTCCGTTTCTTAGATCTATTTCTTTCCTTTACCCCCCCAGACTTTTTCATAGTTTTTATTTATCTTTGTCCTCAGTTCATTAAATAACTTATAGTTTTCATACTTCTCAAAATGCCTGTTCCCTTCCGTCATCATTACTCCAGAACTCTCCTCCTTTCTATACGTAATATTTACTTTGCTTTTCTCAATCTTTTCCCCCTCAGGCAATTGGAGTTCGAGTCGTATACGCTGTACAAAGTGGCCTACTATATGGCCTTCTACTACCACTGGGTTCTGCTTGCCATAGGGGCGCCCGGGAATCTGGCCAGCATCTTCACCATACTCTCTATGCCAACCGTGTCGTCATCAAAGGTGAAGTTTTTCCCGCCACGCCCTCTTCCCGGGGGTGGTGGCGCTGTCACACCTCACACCCAATCGTCTGCTTCTGCTTGTCAGAAAAGAGCTCTCATCAATCAAACAACGGTGCACGACCACTCTAAAATAGTCGCTTATACCGCTGATCGGAGATGTAGAAGTTTGGAGTTAACCAAAGGTCTTGTCGTGGACAGGCTCGGGAACACGGTAACTCTGGCGCGAACTCCGAGTCCGTTACAGAGAGTAATAATGGTGACTTGTCAACGTTTAACCCATTAAAAACGTGCACGGCTAATTGCATAGAATCTTGCCTTTCCTCGCGTAAATGTTTCCTCGTTACAGGGCATTGCAATCATTCAAACACGCTTCAGCGGGCAGGAATATTCTAAAACATGCAATCACTGTATTACGGTACAGCGATCAGGGGTGTTCAAGTAAGAAACGCAAATCTAAACGGGGCCCCATGCAAAATGTTTACAAAAATATTCTAATATTACAAATTTTCTCAAAGAAAATTTCTACACTGCTATCTTCCAAACATGATTATAGTCCTCCAACATAATTATTATAGTTTAACATTAATGACTCTTAAATTCTATTGTAATTAATAATCCCATTTGTAAGCTTAGGCTGAATCCATAGTAGACCCGACCCGTTCCGTTTTCTCGACGCCGTTCTTTTGCTGGTAGAACGTATCCGTCAAAGTGGCCATAGTAAACCGGCTTTCTGCCCGTTTGACGGCTACTTACGTCACTCGTTTCATACGAAAATGGCGAGGGGTACTAAACGAAACAGATTGTTGTTTCTGCTCTGGTGGTTGAGGAAAAAGAAACGAAGGGAGTCCTCGACGTTTTGCAGTTCATCCTATTAACAGAAGGAGAGCTTTGTATGGAGAACATCACAATCTGATGCCCCAACTGCACAATCGCCCTTAGAAATTTCAGCAGTATCTCAGAATGACGCAGTCTTTTTATGCTCTTCTTGAACTGTGTGCTCCCGATCGTAAAGAGAAGTCAAAGAATTTCTGCAAAGCGATTTCACCTGAAGAATTTTTCTTCGTCCATCTTCATCAGTTGCAAAGGGAAAAATCTGTCATTGTAAATCATGGACAAAGTACAGTCCCTTCTCACTTTCCTTTCCGTCTACCCGGCAGCCGGGCGGTTTGCACGATAGGCGAAACGACGGCGTTAAAACGCCTGACCGGGCCTGTGGTTACAATGTATGGCTGTCCATGCCCGTCGTTGGTGGCGCCACATAGCAGTTCAGCAGAGTTGATTCTTTCCCCCGCCACGGCAAAAGAACGGCGTCGAAAAAAACGGAACAGGCAGGTGTACTATGGTTTCAGCCTATAGGAATACTGTTTGTTGGCTCAGTAGACAGATTGTTGCTATCCAACCAGAAAGTTATGGTCAAAGCTGTGTAATAACGATACCCCTTCTTTCAATTAAAAAAATCATGAATGAATGAATGAATGAATAAAGAACTGTGTATAATTTGTTAGCAAGGGAATAATTTCTGCACTATATGTGCATCTATTTCAATTTTATTTTTGTTTTACTAAATTGGAGCAAGCTGTGTGCTAAAATAGAGACAACGCTAAAGACCCTATTATGTGAATCATTTCGCTTCTACAATTTTTGTTTTGTTTTGTTTAGTTTTACCGTCTGTGTTTTAATTATTTAGAATAGTTTTCTCATAACATTACCGGCTAATCGAGCGTGAAATGCAATGCTCTAGGGCGGGAAACGTAGATATGAACTGAGAGCATGGCGTCTACTGTCTGTTTTCCAGTGGCCTCTAGCAAAAAACAACTTGTCAAGTAGGGCTGGTGTGTGCTCTTAGTGTTGTGTGTGATGTGACATCGGTTCTTTTTTGCTTTTAATCATGACAATATTTAGTCTTAGGAATCTGAAATTCCTAATGTTTGACAATTTTTCTTTTTTATTTCATTAGTTTTTTCAAAACTTGTGTTGCATAGAATGGTTTGATTTTGCTGTGTGATTTTTCAACAGAAAGCAGATGCATAACTGGTAGGAGAGTTTGTTAATAACCATGGTTGATACAAAAAATGGGTTAACTTATTGATTATACATTGCTGTTACTGTTTCGTGTTACACAAACTTTCCCCCCAGCACAATTAGGTATAGCTGAGTTCGTTGTGTTGTGTCAGTTCATTTGGCTCTTTTTCTCAAGGTTTGATTGCACTATTGCCAGAAATTGTTTTCTATTATAATTTTACCAAATATTTCAGTGCGCTAATTCAGTTTTTATTCTCCCAAAAGATGGTAAAATGAATAATTACTGTAATTGTAACGTATTAAAACTTTTTAAAAGCAAACAGACATAATAACGGCCTTTTAGTGAAGTAAAACAATTGAGAAGATAGACAGATGCAATAAATGAATAGCAAAGAATTAAGACCTGCCTGTGGTGCCCTCCAATCATCTGTGTAGTTGAGCAGTGCCATAAACTGTTAATTTTACAACAGAAAAAAATGACCCGCTGCTTAGACCAGCCAACACCCCTCTCCCAAACAGGCCGATTGAACGAAAGCACCCTAGCCTACAGTTATCAGCGTGCCCACCCACCTAACCCCCCCCCCCCCAACTTCCCCCTTTCCCACCCCACCCCCACAACCTCCCAACACCTAGTAGCACTTTCATGTACCCAACCCGAGATTTGGCGTTTCCCTGTCTGACTTAGGGTTTACAGGAAGAACGCATTATCTCCTCCTTTTTTACCTGCTGTGTGACACCTTGCACAATTCTGAAGACAATGTTTTATAATAAATTGTTTAATTAAATTGTGCCTTATTTAATGACAGCTGCTTATAGTGTGCTTATAATTTTCTGGTTTACTGTATAAAATTATATTGTTTTTCGATTTTCAATAATAATATTATCAACATGCAGCTGTAACGACCTAAGTAGGGCCGCCTCTCATCTCTTTATAAAGACGAAAACAAATTTCCAAGCCCAAAGAATCATTTGGAACTGAGTCAACAAAAACGCAGAATTATTTACCGTCTTTTATATTCATATCAACTACAAAAAAAAGGAAAAACGTATCCATTATCATCGCACTTTAAAGTTAAGTCTACTTTTAAAAAGAACCATTTTAACGTTTTATCACATGCCCTTGAGAATAATTTGGATAACATTAAGTTTGTTTTATTTTGCAAAACGTGTAATTATTTGCTTAATTATTTCATATATTACTAGTTGCAACTCCCCAACTTGTTTTTTATTATCCCTGCAAAGACTTCCTTTCAGAAATCCCACTCTTTTGAGCTTTGGTTATTCCTGCTTTGCTTTTCATATGCCTGAGTGGCGGGGTTCGTTATTTGCTGGTTGGCGTTTTGAGGAGGCAGGTAAACTTTATTTAGTGGGATGGAATATTTTGTTTAGATTTCTTTTGGGGGCGGGGGACGGAATTCTATCTTTAAAAAGCACAATGATATATACCTTTCCCAGTTAGATTGAAAACTTGGTTATATACATCTCGGTTCTAAAGAAGCTATAGTGTTACTACTCAAATTGTTTACAATTTAACAACCAAATTGATTAAACTGTCAAGGAAATTTTGACGCTTCATTAAGCCTTAGTCCTAATCTTATATTCGTTTTGTCTGTTCTGTCCTTGCACAGGCCCACGTAGCTATCTTGGCCACAGTGGACACCATCGCTCTGGTTCTGAAACTGGCCTATTCCGAGATGTCCGGCAGTGCCATTCACCTCACTGGGCCCGGATGTGCCACCATTATGTTCGCCCAACAGTTCACCTCAGACTACGCAAACTGGATCGTGGTTGCCATGACAGCGGAGCGCTTCCTGGCCGTCTGGTTCCCCTTGCGGGTGGGTCGGATGTATACCAGACGCAAAGCCCTGATGGTACTGGCCTTACTCGCGACCTTGACCTCCGGCGTCTCACTCGTGCTATTTTGGGTGTGGACGGAGTACCACGAAGCTTCCTACGGCTACTGGTGTGACATCAGGCCAGAATATGTGGACTTTATTAACTATACATTCTACTGGCTGTCCGCGGTTTATTCCTTAATATTGCCGTGCTTTTTTATCCTTCTCGGGAACACGCTCATTATCTTAAACATTGTGCGGGCTGGGAGGGTACAGCGTCACCTGACAAACTCGTTCGATCAAGGCGGGAGAAAGGCGAGGGATCAGAGACAGATCACGCTTATGCTGGTGGTAGTGTCTGTCGTGTTCCTCATGCTGAATATGCCCAACGCCATCTTCTACATCGTGAAGCCCACGTGGAAGGACAGTCTCGAGCCTTTCTCTTACGATGAGGCCAAGTACACCTTCACGGCTCGCTTCATTCACATACTGAGTGACGCCAATCATGCTGTGAACTTCTACTTGTATTTTCTCAGGTGTGCTATTGATTTGAATGCTGAGCTATCTTCTTTTACCGTTGCTGTTGCTGTTATTGCTTTTGTTGCTTTGTTGTAGTTGTTGTTGTTTTATGTTGTTGTTTTTCTTCTTCTTCTTCTTCTTCTTCTTCTTTTTCTTCTTCTTCTTCTTCTTAGCTAGCTAGCTTTGTTTGTTCTGACGTGTCGTTGTTGTTTCTGTTTTTTTGCTTCGTTTCGTATTTTCCAACAGAGGGGGTTTTAATTTCGCTTTTTTAAAAGTAATTCTCCTTTCTGTATAGAGTGCATAGAGCTTGCTGTTGAGCGGAGATATGCGCTATACAAATGCTATTTAATATCATTATCTTTTAATAGAGGTGAAACCTACGACAGCTGGTGTGGGTGGGGGCGTGGCATGTGGGCGTAGTGTAACCTTTTGTATGATAACATAAAACAATGTCTTTTAAAAAGAGGTCCTTGAAACTACGACAGCTTTTTTTTTTGTCATTAGGATAGTCCTGTTGATCAAGTCTAGACCCCTCAAACAGCAAAGGCCGGTTTCAGACAGTAATGAGGACATCGGCTTCAAGATGTTCATTACTGTCATCTTCAGATTTAACGTCCTTACAACATAAAATCTGGGTCAGATTTCACAACACCAATATAAAAACAATGTGGGATTTTTCAGCCCCCCTTTTAAGATTAAAATACTTACGTTGATGAGATTTTTCATTGTGAGTGTTCTCC